GCTTCGCGCTTGGTGATGTGAGAGCCTGGTCCGGTGAGATCCCGGCGTGCTCCGTCCCGGCTTTGTAGGGATGCGAGGTCGACTACGGCATGCACGACTATGAGTACACCCCCTCCCCCTTTTGCATGCAATCAGTCCTGCCTGCGAGCACCCCACCTTGTTCCTGATGTGGTAGAGCCCGAGTTTGAACATTATCGTGTCGGCGTCGTTGTTCCAGGCCACGGGCTTGTAGCTGGAAGGCCACACCGCCTTACCCTCCACCGCGCCCGAGAAGTGGACCTTGGTTGAGGTTGAGCGGTAGGGTGGGTATCCCACGAGTCAGACGGGGGTGTCGTAGCGTGTCTCGCCTCAAGCGATGACTTCATTCTCGAAGACCCAACACCGTAACATCGACTACATACATAAGACTATGCCATAAGTATGCTTCGAAACATCATGGGCAAGTAGCTGCTTCCGACACAACACGTTGGTATAGCCCAATGAGCGTACCTCGTGAAAATTTAACTACATACGCCGTTGTTCGCCCCTGTTAGCCTGTATGTCGAGCAAGATGATGCTGCGGAGTAACTCAGGTTGTTCCCTGGGTAGGATGCTTATTTCGAGCATCTTGATATGGTAATGACATGGACACGTCAATCAGCAGTAGGCAACGCATGCACACCTCCATGGACTTCCCGAAGGTCGTCTGGATTTCGACGTTGACCCACTCTCCTGTGGCGTCCTCCCAGCTCAGGAACTCGTCCATACCCTCGACAATGTCGGATTCATCATTGTTGAAACGGACGTTGATTCCGTCATTGTTGGCCGTGATGGAGAACAGGGGGTTTCCGATGAGCTGGAAGCCTCCCGAAACGCCTTTCATCTGGCCCAACCGGCTGGAGGACCCGGAAACCTTCATGCCGTCCTTCGGTTTGAAGCTGTACTTGAAAATGTAGGTCTCGCCTTGGGAGTGTGGCAGGAATTGCGAGGTGGGGTGGATGCCTCGTTTTTTCGGGCAGGGGACTGCTTGCCAACGGGACGGGTATATTGGAGGTAGGCGAGGCGAGCAAATCCAATAGAAGGCCACGATAGGAGACCACGAAGCCCGAATCTATTTACCAGCAGGACAGATTGCGCTCCGTCACGTAGCAGTTACCACTTCGGAACGAATTAATTCAAGGGTACAGACAAGGACAGTAAGCAGGAGCGTGTCCGCGTTGGACATCAACACGAATGATCGGGTGTATCCCGTCCTGCGTTCGTCGAGTACCCATGCTGAACCGAGGTTTACCCTTCGCGAACTGGAAGCCCCCGACGCCTTGCTGCACCAAGACTTCGGCGCGCTCTTTGTCTTCGGGGACGATGAACCTGGAGAAAAGAAGCGAACGTGCGGCAAGGAAGGGCGATGAGTCAATCTAATCAAGCACGGGGCTGTTCGAAAGTCGCCATCACCGTATGGCACACGGACGGGCGTTTCATTATTAGTGTTTCACTTGCTTGATGATTCCGGCCGGATGGGAATCAACCGGAGATATACGTTGTCGGAATACACAATTTTTTCAACTACCATGGTATCTTGTTTCTCGGCGACACGGGACAAACCCGTTGATCATTGCTTCCTTCTTACCAGCGTGCATGTATTTGTTCGTACCTGGAACAGGGTTCTACTTTCGTGCCGGCCGAGCACGAGGTCAACGTCCCTCCCCGCGCCTCAACCTCCACCAAAGAACCGTAGCCGAACACGCATTCCCAGTCGATGGTGTTGCCGCTGAGAGCTGCGCACGTGATGTCTGTCTGCTGGCACTGCCCCTTTTGGTGACGAGACATTCGGCACACGCGACAGAGGAGACGTTGTTTCGAAGGAGCACAATGAGGAGAATATGACGGGGGCTTACCCACCATAGTGGGATTCAGCCAAATGTCCTGTATTCAGATCAGTGGACAATGTTTTTACGTCATCACAATATGGGGGACGTGTCTGCGGGGCTGAATTGATGAAACGCACCCCCAAAGGGAGTCACGTTGCGACATATTCTTCCTTGGACTTGCAATGGGGGAGTTTATCGGGGTTGATAAACCGTACGATCCTTTCGGTTGTCACATAACGGCAGATACGTCCATGAATTGCATCGAATACGAAAAAATTCTACTGCTAGGGGGGCAACCCTGACATGGTCAAAGTAGACTCACAGAGGAATCGATGGGGCACGTGTTTGTCGGGTCGTCGACGTGGGGGCTTGTCCGGATGATGCCGTTCGGTCCCTCGATCGAAATGTCCTGGTAGATGACTTCTTGGTCCGCCACCTGTAGATTAATGGTATGCACACGTTTCTTTGGATTGCTCGGGCAATCACAGTTGTTGAGTCCTGGCCTGCGTGGGCCGTTCGAGGCCTCGAAGAGCACATGCAAGCTCTGTAGACTAGTAGACTAGATGTGATCTTCGGATTGTGTGTTCGACGATAGACCGGAAGATATTAATGAAAGTTTTGTCCCTGCACCTGCAGGCACAATAGTACCAAGATCGGGTGAAACGAAGGCGCTCTACTTGGTATGCCCTTACAGAAATGATGTTAAGCATTGGATCATCGCTCCTCGAACAAGAAACCTACAAAACAATACCAACCTTAAAACCATCGCATGAAAGTTTGCGAAATCGATCCCTGCTTGACCCTTCAAAAAACCTCGGGTGGCTTAGCCTACTTCTCTCCGGAAAATATCACCGTGGATTTCTACCTGCCGGTCCATCGGTGCTGCCCACCTTCGTAGATCCTCTACACGGAAAGCTGGAGAGGCGAATTTGCGAGAAGGTGGGTACGTAAGCGTATTGAATGTAGAGGGGGAAGACATGAATCAGCCCGCGAGGCTTCCTTCTGAAGGCAGGCATCCAAGTAAGGCAGGGTGGGGAGACCTACGTTGTGAATGGAGTGGTAGAGACCCAGCTTCATCCGGACCATTTCGGAGTCGCGGTGCCAGGCCACGGGCTTGAGGTCACTCGGCCAGACAGCCGTTCCGCTGACGGCTCCAGAGATGTTCACCTGTTGTCAACAGGCGAACGAAAAATGTTGCCGGAGGTTTCACTTGTAGTCAAGAAATCAACACAACGCCTAGCGCCGTTTGGAACGGCGGGTGCAAGGTACGAAAAACCCATCCATCTCAGCGGAAGAAAGAAACAACACCGATGGCGCGCCTCAATATTTCGGCTCAAGGCAGGACGCGAACCTGACGTATTGCCACTCTCCGGGACTTGCCAGTTCGCTGCTGATGTAGTGCGTTGATGGGTCTGTTAACGATATTCTACTACGGCACATAACCGCAGTCGTCGAGGTCGCTTCCACGTACCTCCATGGACTGTCCGAAGGTGGTGATGATCTCCACGTGCACCCACTCCCCGGTGGCGGCATCCCAGTCCAGCGGCATGTCCAAGCCGTCGTGGTAGTCTTCGATGGACTCAAGGTTGCTGAAGCGAACATGCAGCCCGTGCTTGTTGGCGGTCAGGGAGTAGATCGGGTCGCCCTTGATCATGTAGCCCCCCGCCGAGCCCTTGAGCTGAAAGGACAGTTTTCGTCCACGCACGGCAGCAGATGTATGTTTGGTGAATCAAGTTTTTGTTGACTTACGGGAGGTTGGCATGTTTCGGGTTGGCGTGGCCTCGGTGACGTTCGAGGTGCTATGCTTCGCACGGACCGCCTATGTGACGCGAATTCGCCTGAATCCCTGTCGCCATCTCGCTCGTTGGTTGCGGCAGTATCAATGCTGACTTGACGCTCCGGCCACTCTTCATAACGCATACATGGGCCTTTCGTGTAACCGCGACAAGCTATGCTTGCCAACGTCTAGAGGTGTCTCTGCACGGGTCAATGGTAGTGATTTTGGTGAAAGAGGGTGCTTTTGGTCAAGTGGGGGGGATGTTTCACCTGCGAGATAACCATCGGCGCCATTATCTTCCTCGTTTGCTGCAACCTGTTCTACTTGTACGTATAGCAAGCAGGACGGATGAGGGGATGCAAGAAAGGTCATACCTGGCCGAGGTGGGTGAAGCGAGTGGCGACCTGCATGTCCTCGATAGCCTGGAAACTGTACTTGAAGATATATTCCTCGCCGTACAGGAACGGGAATCCCTCGGGACCCTCCTGCACCTTCACCTCCGAACGTTCTTCGTCCTTGTCCACGATGAATCTGACGTTCATGGTCGAGAGTGGGTCGGAAAGTATCGGCAGGAGGCTGACAGGTGGGCTAGACTCGTGTTACCAAGAGACCCTCTTTGATAATCAATAGTTAGGTCTATCGTATGGCCTGACCTGAGAGAAACGCGCAAGAAGTTGAACAATTGAGCTTCGAAGAAGCCAGTACAACAAGCATGATGGCAACCGGGAATGTACCCAACAACAAAGGCACAAGGGGGAGGGGGGGGGGGGGGGGGGGGGNGGGGGGGGGGGGGGGGGGGGGGGGGGGGGGGGGGGGGGGGGGGGGGGGGGGGGGGGTTCAGAGTTCGCTTTTACGGTTCTTTGAGTATTCTTCCGGAAGCCTTAGATTACAGCTGTATTCCAGAAGCAGGCCCTGACGGCAGCGATTATGACGTCCGTACTTCATTTTAGTGCTGACCGCAGCAATCCAGGGAATATCGTAACGAAATATGGAAGTGGAAAATGTTGTTGGCATGAAAAAATACCCCGTTACCTGGAGCACGGGTGCGCTTTGGTAGCTCCAGGGCAGGTAGTGAAGTCCCCTCCCCTCTGAAACACTTCCTCCAAGGATTCAGGCCCGAAAACGCAATCCCAGTCTATCTGGTAGTCTTGCAATGCATCGCAGACGATGTTGATCGGCTTGCAGTTTCCCTGCAACAACGAAAGAGTTGGTTTGGCAATGGCATCCCAACTGTAATACAGGACGGTAAGAGGATCGCCAGTGCCTAGGCAAGGATTAATGAAGATAAGGACAAGAGGCCCTATTTCTTATTATCATTTTTTATTTTTTGCCTTCCGACAATTGCAGATGTACCTCAGAAAACTTTCACTTAATGTCTATTCAAAATTTGCGCTTGGTTCGTTTTTGTGCTTGCTCGCAGAGAATCCAGTAAATTCTTTACTTACTACTTGCTTTTGGAAGGCTCTGTGCTTATGTTCACTGTTCGAAGGCCGCATGCGAAGGCGTGTCTTTGATACAACACGCATCAATGCTCCAAAGCAGACCTCAACAGGGTGCCGCTACACAGTAGATACGCCGGATGGTGTCCAAACACCTATGTACTCCGTATGGTTTTTCTATTCGCGTCTTGTAGACTACCATGCGTAGCCAAACTTGCAAAGTACGACAATGCACATATGTACTACAACAAGATCTAGCCCTTACCCTTGAGTCGACGGCGCATGGCTGGGAGGTGGCACTTCCGGGCACACCCGATGATCACGGCCGAAGAGAGGGAAGAGCAGTCATCCGCGTCATGCATGTCGCAGGAGGCGAAACCCGTTATGGTAAGAATGGGCAAGTTTGGTGTGGACGGCAAGGACAAAAAATAGCAAGGGCGGTACTGTATCATACAAGCAGATCCGGGCGCCCTCAATGTCAACTCCAGATACCAACGCAGTACGGCAATACTTTCGTCAACCGGGATATTCACTTACGGCGCTGAGTGGGTAGCCGCCAGCATCAGGCCCAGCCCCACGGAAGAGCTGAAGCGAATCATTGCTTAGACCTTGAACAGGGGTGGCACCTGCGAGCGCCAAGAAGAGATTTTGTTGTTGTTGTTGTTGTTGTTTTTGTCACATTCACTCGTGTCAGTTGCTAATCCCAAAATCTAGCAAAGACTCGGTCCGTGGTCACAAAAATGCTAGAGCCATCAGAAGATCAAAAGATCACGCACACTATTATTAATGGCAAGAAAATGGTACATAAGCCCGAGGAGGTACACCTACAATCCCTGCAGCACGTTTGCGTGCTCACAACTGAACTACACGCCCACACACTACAATTCGACTACATACAGCAGCAGCATCACACCCGTTGTCCCGCAATTACCAAAATGAATATTTGTCGACTACATCGTACTGCTGTCTGAAGTGCTGTCTGTACAGCAATAAGACCATGTTGCATGGTACACATACTCGGGACATACAGCTGCTGTCTGAAGTGCTGTCAGAATGCGTCCGTGAACATACAATGAAGAAGAACAAACAACCAAATCCATCATTGCAATTGACAATCACCCGAATCCATCCAGATCATATGTGTTTGCCAACAGCAGTGTAAACATCGACACTGACTAGGAATCGTTCCACATTGAAGGAGTCTTCCACGATGCCGGTACACAGTTAAGGCACCCGGGTTATCTGCGCCATCTCTGCCGCGTCTCTGTTCAAAACCAGTGACGTCATCACACACACCCAACACCTATTTTCAGGAAAAAAACGGAAAAAAATTGACTACACAAGAGATGTTTGTCCGTGCGCCACGGTTCGATGCCGTCAGCATCCTCCGGTGCCCCTTCTCCGGTGCCGCTGCTCCGGTGCCGCTGCTCCGGTGCCGCTGCTCCGGCGCCGCTGCTATGGTGTCGCTGTGGCTAGTCCTAGCACGACCGAACTCGACCCGCTCTGTCCGTACATACACGCTCTCGTTTGCTGTCCTTCCCAGTCGGTTCCTCGCTTTCTCCCTCGTTGTACTTAGGGATCTTGGTCTGAAAATTCTCGCGCCGAAGGGTCAACCAGCCTAATCAGCTCGTCACCCCTCCTTTGATGGCAAAGCCAGGTTCCTGAGACAGTACAGCTCCCTCTAGCAAACTAGGGCCATGTACATAGTGCCCGTCCACCTTTTTGATGGCGTCTGCCTCTGCGCACAAAGATGAGATGGCAATTGCTGCCTACACCGACGGCCGTGGAGGCCCGCGCATCCGCACCTTCATACCTGACGCACCAGTGCCGACCCAACTCCACCACTACACACGCCGCGCGGTTTGTGCGCCGCAGCAAGGAGGTATCGGTCCCTTGAGGTTGAGTCTAGCCCTGCTCGCTAGAAAGGCCCCACCCCCTCGGTGTTTGCCATCGGGATTGGGTTTTCGTCGCTTGCCAAAAACGCTGTGAAACAAGCCGATACACCTCGGCAACCAGGTTACCTGTTGTTTTTTTGTTCCTCTGTATTTTTTTTGGCGGTAACCATAATGGTGGTCGAGTAGATCATGTTGCGCGGGGTGGAGAACCCTCACTCCGCGCAAGGGGGATGATCGCACCACGTTGTGTTGAAATGGTCAAGCACCCTTGAGGTAGTTACACAGCGCTTACAACTGTCTCTGGAAGTGAATGCACGAGAAAGTAAATCAAGTCATACGCAGCTGTCATCCGTTTGCAAGGAAGTAGTCTAAGCACAAGATGCCGAACACTCTCAGCAGGATGCAGCGCACCCTTCATGCGACTCGCCGAATATCTCACGGCGCTTCGCGCTTGGTGATGTGAGAGCCTGGTCCGGTGAGAACTCGGCGTGCTCCGTCCCGGCTTTGTAGGGATGCGAGGTCAATGGTCTAACGACAAGACATGCACGACAATGAGTACACCCCCTCCCCCTCGCTATGGGTCATGCCTAAGCAAAACCTTGCCGCGGCAGCGAGGGGAAGAAGAGTATGGTTTCGCCGGAATCATGTCGAGATAGGTCGCCAGCTTTGGGCAGGCAGGTCGTTACACGTTTGAATTCATGGCGATTCACGATCGCATTTTACGAGCACCATGCTCAACACTCCGCGTCTCCGTCAAGCTGTTTCTTGTGGTATTGACCATCCATGTGCAACGGAATACTTGTCCAACCGTGGCTTCATTCAGGTGATGACGTTTGGAGGATGCAAAAGAGGCTGATATCCAGCCATCCGTGCAATATTCCCCACAACAAGCTGAACAGAGAGGTTATGGCACAACGCTTTGAAAACCCACTCAAATGTGTTAAGCAAATAGGAGCAACAAATGTCAAGACCGGGAAGTAGTCATGGGTGTTGACAGATATTTTGATGTCTCGAGACATACAGTATTTCGGATACCTCGCGACAACGACATTCTTGCGGAAAACAAAACTCAACTATTATATGTAAACTAGGTACTTGTAGACAACTTGCAACAGGAGTTGCATGGACGACAATCGCGCATAGAGGAAACATTGCTGCCTCGATTCACTTCCAAACAAGAGCGTCAAACGGTTCGTCTCGCAATTCCCTAGTTGAGCGTAGAACCAACAAGCCTTCCAGATTTTGTCAGATAGAAAGGCAACGGGCAACAGCACCCAAGAACCAACCACCGTGGCAACATGAGCCCTGAACCAAGGCGTTTGCCGGGGTTTTCCAAGTTTCCGAACAACCACCTTGATGTAGGTGTGAGGCGAGCTATTGCAAAGAGTTGGTTTTCTCTCGCTTCCGTTCCTCGCCTGGGAGGAACCGCGACATTGTTCGTGTGTACACAAAGGGAAGAGAGTGCTGCAGTCTTCTCGCATTAGAAAGTGAAAGCAAAGTAACGCAGGAGGGGTGGGTAGGGGGCCTTAGGGAGAGGAACCCTTGTGTGTGACCACGGCCTGGAGCAAACGGCGTGAATGCCATGGGCGCTGATTTGAAATGAAGACAAGCAACAAACAAAAATTTGCGCAGTATTCGTTGTTAGACAGACTAGTGTGCGTGGGCCATACGACACATGAAATCGTTACAACTACGGTGAAAACAACGCCCGCGTGAGCCGAGGAGCCGCCAAAGTGGAAACCCCGTGGTTCCTGCTCCGCTACGGCGAACCATCGAGAGAACACCGCTCGCTACGCGTAGATATGCGACAGGTGGCAACAAATGGCATATTTGAACCTGTTGAATGCAGCAGGCGGACACTGAAAGCTGGTCAATCGAGTTACTGAATTGTTCGTCATTGCCCTTGCTGCATGGAAACTGTTGCATGGCAACGAGAGACAGCACCACGACCCTACCCGCACCTAATTCACCTACGCTGGTGAATGATGCTTGATTTCGATGGTCGCAACAATATGCTGCGGGGCTTGTCTGTCACAGGCATGTTGTGTAAGTGCTGTGGAACGTGCCATGTGGCGTAACCACTGCACAGCATGGACGTTCCTGGGGTGCCAAACTGGTGTGGTCGATGTATGGTACGTCTTCACCTGCTCGTAGTTTGCGCAGTAACTTTGTATTGGCATTGAAGTGAACCCTGCTTTGCAGCACTTTCCGACACTCTAGGGAGCGGTATGACTTCTGCCCGCAGCACTTGTGTATAGTACGCCTTCTGCTACCGCAACCGCCCTCCCCTAGAGGTATGTATCCAGACGGTGTTGTCCTGCGCTACGTCGCATGGCATGACCAGTCCTTGGCTACTTGATAGAGTGAACAATTTTGCCTGGACTTTGTCGGACCTTCCGACCAAGAAGAGCTGTGAACAATCGGGCATCATGTATACCAGTAGTATGTAATATCTTGGACACTCCTGAGAGAGGACAGGTTCGTGCCCACTGTACCCACCGAATTCATGGCCCCGAACGATCACTTTCTTCCAAACCTACGGAACGTTCGAATGAACCACAAGCAGTAACCCAGACGGGACAGGTAGTCGTCTTCACCTACTCTCCGCTCGCTTTTCCTTTGATCCCTACGGATGAGTGTTATCGAACACATCAACAAACGCGGCTGAAGAAAATCTGTCGCCGTCATCTGGATTTTCGCGTGAGCGGTGTCGGAGAAACAAGTACCAGACCCGGTGCCCACAAAGTTGCATCAACCTTGACCGAGGTTTGACTTGTTTGCACTCACTTGCGTCGATGAAGTCAGATGTATACAGGTGCCACGTTTCCAAGGCCGGGTAGACAAGGGCAGGGTAGCGGGCTCTCTAGACAGTGGAAAGAAAGTTGGGGGCTGACTATGTGCTGGACTGATCTCGAGGAACCGAAGAATGCCGCAAGTTGCAGAACCTAAACCCACGTACGCGAGGTAGGTGCACAGATCTTCACAAGGAAATAAATGAAGTTACAACAGCTGCAGCCTCTCGATTTCCCTCATCTTTCCCGGGAAACTGCCCTGTGCGTCATCTCGAGGAATCACGGTGGGACTGTCCCTTACAAGGCACGCAAACAGTAAGTAAGGTGTTGTGCTTTGGTGGAAGATATGAGACCAAGGCACATCGTCTTGTTGGTCCGCCACACGCCCTTTGCACAGATAAGAACAGGCCCTACTGTCAGATTCCATGCGGTTCGCCAGTCAACGCGGGGCCCAGCGCACGCGGCGGTAGACGAAGCGGGTAGGAGTCGGACAACGCATCGTGGAGTAGGTTCGCCACGGTTTCAGCCTTGTCCTCTGTGGATTTGACGTCTTCCAGTCCTAACGTCCTACGACTGTATAGACTACAGTCTAGCGCTCTTCATTACCGACCCACGTCGTCTTCCATTCCATCCGCTGTCCCTTTGCGAACATTACTCTCGTGTTGATTGCGTGCGGGGACAATCTACATCCAGAAATTTGTAAGCAACGACAGGGCAATCGTGTGCAGCTGTGGAGGACTCCCGTGTCGTCATGCCGTTGTCTTTATCGGGGTGCCGCTAGACCACCAGCAGGGCAAACCGTGTACTACTGCTGTAGCGCAGCTAAACACAACCCACATTGCTTTACCGTGGTTGAACGAGTGTGTTATTGACGGTGACATCAAGCACCATGATTGTGTGCGGAAGTTTTGTTGGCTGTTGAAGACATGGGCCAGACCCGAGCCGTCCGTGCGAACAACCCGTCACTTGAATCTCAGGGTACCGATTTCTTACCCCTGAATTCCCATATTTGAGTGAATTTGAGTGAAAAAACGGGCGCAGACCACAGGGGGCACGTCGCGAAAGTAGAACTTTTTGCGCACTTCTCTACAGCACACATGTACAGGAGAAGTCTACTGTGTCAGGTCACAGGTGGCTTCGTGACGTTGGTAAGCCATGTACCGGTCTGCACAATCGTATGGAGTTTTGGGGATAAGCCTGCTACGGCGGCCCAGACACAACAGAACAACTTGTTTGTGCGCACGTGGCACGCGAGTCAAAGTTCGCAAGACTCCTCCGAAAAGCTACTGTTCTCCCCCGACCCCGAAATGTGCTTGGTGTGCGACAATGGTATCGCATGATGCGATAAGTCACTCCCCGGTCTGATCTTTGGTGTAAAGGGGATCGTGACGCCCTTTTTCCGCCGTGAGTAAGGGGCGAGACCGGCCACATGCAGGCTGGAAAGGTAAGGATAAAAAAAACAATGCGGCGTTGTTGCTGTCTGACAGTCTTGTGACAGTCTTGTTCGAATGCGGAAGATACGAATATACGAATACTGCTGCTGTTCAATTGCTGCTGCTACTGCGGCTCAATGTTGCTCGGCGGCAACATGGAAAGTGTCAGGCATGTGCAGCAGTAGGCCATGTGAAGAAAAATCTACGTATGTATGATAATTTGTCATCCTGGACGCAAAACCGTTGCTACTGTTCGAAAAACAGCTACTACGTCAGTGCTGCACTGCTGTGGGATGACAACATACGATTCACGCACGCCCGTTCTACAGTAGTAGATCAGGGGCCTAAGAAGTCGCGCATTCGGTGGGAGATGTACCTGCACCACTGTTGCTAGGAGGCAACGCGGCAGGCGTGGTGTCTGGTGTTTAGTGTTGTTTCTGCGGTTGTAAGATCGTTTCGCAAGAACCTACAGCAGTACACTGCTCTACACACTGTCGTACGTTGTACAGCAGACCATTGGTTTATTGGACATTGGACGAACCGGAGACAATCACTCCCTGCGTAAAGCGGTTTGGTTCTAATTCTACGTGTTTCATGTACATGCAGCAGCAGGGGATGCCATCCAACCCATGACGTCCAATCCCCAGCAACCTCTAGCCACGTGTGGAGGATGAATACGTGGGTATGTGATGCACAGCGTGCACAGTATAATAAGGTCAAATAGGGACACGCAATATGAGGAAATTAGAATTACCTCCTGCAGTATATACACGACCAACAACACCCCCCTCGGAGCACTGCTTCATGAAGCTGGCACTTCCTCTCCAAATGTGGTGGAAACTCTCCAGAAAGAAATTGAAGGAATGATACTCTGTGAATGGGTCTTGTCCGGGTTGACGTCTCTTTTCTTCGTTGCAAACATTTGTGGCGTTCTTTTCCACGATCATATTCCTGCAGATCGTCTTCGCTCTATGGTCACAGTCAGATATAGGTGATGCTGGCGATCGGGTAACACTCCTCGCGTGCGCTTGGTTATCAACAAAAGTAACCTTGATAGCCAGATTTCTAGCCACACGACAAGCAGTGAGATGCAAGGTGCACACGAGCTGCCCGAAGTACGGAAGCATCAGATAAGAGACGCTCCAGAAACCTTCATGCACGCCGTTACTCCAAGTAAACGAGGAAGCGCTCATGGCGGGACACGGTGGGACTTGGATCCGAAGGACTCCAAGCGTCTCCAGCGAAGGAGCCTGATGTTGAACAACAGCAACAACCACAAACACCAGCAACGACAACAACAACGAAGCGTGGCTGTCGTGGCCAACCATACAAAAAGAACGCCCTCTCCCCCCCTGTCCGACTCTTTCCCTTCCCGGCTTCCCTCGTCACGCTCCGTTGGCTTGCTCTTTGTCTTCCGCATAGTTTGCTCATCGTGCCGGTCGTACGAGCACCGAAGTGATCGAATCCGGGATGATTGATAAGAGGTACAGATCGTCCTACCGGAACGCCAACCAAATCGTGGAGGAAGGGTGACGGTTAAGGCCTTCGAAGGCCAGCAACATCTACTTCGAGCAGCACACTTCCGATTCTCTCTGGTGTCCGATAAGCGGCAGGAGTGACGCGAAGAGGCGGCGATGATCGCTGGGGGGGCGTGAAGGGGGGGCGTAAGCACTGCAGAATGTGCACAGAACGAGAAGGGGTGGGGGGGGGGGGTACTCATAGTCGTGCATGCCGTAGTCGTTAGACCATTGACCTCGCATCCCTACAAAGCCGGGACGGAGCACGCCGGGTTCTCACCGGACCAGGCTCTCACATCACCAAGCGCGAAGCGCCGTGAGGTAATCGGCGAGTCGCATGAAGGGCGCGCTACATCCTGCTGAGGGTGTTCGGCACCTTGTGCTTACTTCCTTGCATACGGATGACAGCTGCATATGACTTGGTTTTTTTTCTGGTGCTTTCACTGCCAGGACAGTTATAAGCACTTTGTAGCTGCGTTGAGGGTGCTTGACCATTGAAACACAACGTAGTGCGATCATCCCCCTTGCGCGGAGTGAGGGTTCTCGACCCCGCACAACACGATCCACTCCACTACGATTATGGTTACCGCCAAATAAAAAACAGAGGTAAGAAAAAAAACGGTAACCTGGTTGCCCAGCTCACGAAGTGAATTGGCTTGTTTTACAACGTCGTTGCCAAGCGACGAAA